ACTGGGCTGCTGGGCCTCGTTCGGTTGGGCGCCCAACTGTCTCTGTATGAGGCTGCGAATCACGCCCAGGGCCTGCATTCTTTGGAAAGGCCCGGTAGGCCGTGGAAATGTCTTCGGTACTCGGCCTGTGTTTCTTTCAACCAACTGGCGTGTCGCAACTGCCTGGACCCCAAATATGAAATTGACAGTCGAGGGCCTCTTGCAAAAAGCCAGCCCGACTTCACTTAGGGCGGGCACCTCCACCTTCACTTAGGGCGGGTAAGGCTGCAGACAGGGCCCAGTAGGCCTACCGAGGACACTGATCCTCGCACTACTGTATTCACCCTAATACAACGTACAGTCATTATAGCTGTATGGGGCAACTTTGGGTCTAGATACAGCAATAATGACCTGTATTCACCCGAATACAACGTACAGTCATTATAGCTGTATTTGGGGCAACTTTGTGGTCTAGATACAGCAATAATGACCGTATGTTGTATTCGGGTGAACACAGTAGATAGTAGATAGACATGCCGTGGAAGAGACTGAGGAGGAGATAAGCCACAGCCAGCACGACAGAGAAAGCATCGCAAGAAATTACTTGCTTGTGCTTTTGAAAAGATTTTTTTTTTTTTTGTTCCCTGTTTATATCACAGCAAATGGCAGGACTACATTTTTTTTTTTTTTTTTTTTTTTTTTTTTTTTTTTTTTAAGGGCGATGGCCTTGAGGTATTATCATCGGACTAACCAGCCCAGGTAAATTCAATATTGTGTCTCATCTGACATCGGGTGGCCTTTTCAGCCCAGGGTGGCCTTTATTTATTGCCTTCAGGGAACTACCCCCCCAATGGGGGGACACCGGCCAGGGGACAGCCGGTAGCAGAGGGACCGAGCATCATCTGAGTGGCTACGGTAGTCGCTGTGCCTCCCCGATTACCCCTGACCCCTCTATGAACATCAGCAGAGAAGGCTTTTTTTTTATAATGCCAATCGGGGGGACAAACGGGCTATCTCTAGGTGGCGGGCGCCAAGCATGCCCAGGAAGGTACATGAGGCCAATGGGGATTGAACCCAAGACCTCCTGAATGCCGCTTGTGTGCCTTACCAACTGAGCTAGGCCACTGGATTAAATGGCAGGACTACTACTAACACAAGAAAGATGTTCACCAGAAGGAAATGGAGCCAGGGCCATAGGGCCTCGCTCCACTACTCACGAAATGTGCAAAATGAGAATGCATCTTTCACTAGAAGATGGGAAGATACACCGCCATATTTTTTGCCTTTTCTGCATGTGGTGACAACTCCAGCGAGGCCCATAAGGTCTTTTTTCTTTAGACAGCCAGTACATGGCCGCAGCGTTGCGGAAAAAATTGTTGCCACAAGAAGTCTCAAAGCAACTTTAGGGGCGTGTGCGAGCCTTTGATGAAAATCATCAGTGGGCGGCGAGCCTCGAAAAGGTGCGGTGTCAGGCCCTCAGCCTCAGATGCCCATGTACTGGTGGTCTAAGGTCATCTTTCTCGGATTACCTGCACGAACGATTTGAGTTCAGTGTAGTATGGACAGGGAATAAAGAATACAGTGGAAGCCAGCCAGCTGAGGAACGCTAAGACAGCCCGAAAGGAGATACGCTGTGCCGTCTTCATTCAAATAGAATGCCCGGTCATTACCACTGTATCTAGACTGAAAGTTGCCCCAAATACAGCTGTAATGACTGGGCATTGTATTCGGGTGAAGACGTTAGTTCAATTGCAAAAGAGGAATGAAGGGTGGGAGAAGTTAAGGAAGATGCAGGTGGGTAAGGAACAGGCGATTCCGATGGAATAGATGGTCCCAATGGAACAGATGGTCCCAGTGGTCCCAACAGGATGGAATAGATGGTCCCAATGGAACAGATGGTCCCAGTGGTCCCAACAGAACCGCCGGTTCTGACGGAACAGATGGCCAGTGGAACCCGAAAAGCTCATGTGTGGGGAGTTGAGAACGAATGGCAATGCAGGGGCCTTGTGCCCTCCTAGACGTGGTAGTATCAGGTCCCACCAAGTCTTGGGTCCTCCGAGTTAGGACCCACATTTGGGACCTGGTGGCTACCACTTCTAGGGAGGGGGGTGCAAGGAACTCGTGGAGGAGAAAGGGTTGGGGTTAAACCACCAGTCACATGGAGGGCATGCCACCAAGAGGGGCATTTGTCAGCCTCATGCAATTGAGGAGGCTCTGAACGAAAAAACATCAGTGTTGGGTCAAAAGTTCAACGGACCTCGCTGGTGCTGCGTTCATGCTCAGAAAGCATGAATGTGGTCGTAACTCGTAAGAATGGTCAGGTTCATATTGACTTACCGTGACAGCACGGGTGCTCAGCCCGTGTTTTTTTCTGTCGATCTGGTTCGGGAATGGTGAGGTAGTGATTATGATGTGTTTGCGTATTGTCACATTCGCTATACACAACTCCAAGAGTGTGTGTGTGTGTGCTTGTGTGCGTGTGTGTGTGTGTGTGTGTGTGTGTGTGTGCGTGTGTGCGTAAGTGTGCGTAAGTGTGTGTGTAAGTGTGTGTCCCGCATAATATGACATGTAACCGCATCATAATCAAGCTCCAAAATAATATATTGGCACACCGTAGGCGTGGTGCAGACGCATCCGGTACTCAGAGGTGGGAATGACTATGCCGGACTACATGAGCACGCTCAGGAACAAGAATTTGTAGACGTGGTGCAGACGGAACCTATACTGTAAGGTGGGGAATGACTATGCCGGACTACACAAGCATCCATGCTCCCACTGCACTTCGCGGGCGAACTGGAACACACACGATCGAAGAGACACCACAAGACAAGGAAAGGACTGGGGGCCACGGGGGAGGTGGGAGGGCAGACCATACATAAATGCACAAAACAAGG